CTGCAATCCCCTCCAAGCCTTCAGCATTATGAGATCGGTCATTTATGTTGGTTGCTTGACAGGCCAGACAAAATCCTAGTGACTGTTGCACACAAAATATAACTCCCAACCATCAAAACACTCATGTCAGGAATAGTCTTTATGTCCATAAGATCCCAGTCAGTCCCAGTGCAGTGAATATGTAGCAAATGAATGACAAAGGGGCAATATGCAGAGGTGGAATCAAACAGGAGTGCCAGTCAGAGGACCAGAGGTACAGTGTGGCATCATGCTGCAGACTGGACTGAGAATTCTGCTAATTTTATTTCTGTTCAACGCGGGGTGTCGACAAGAAGAATTCTTCTGAATCAACGTGATTTTTTTTTTTTGAAACTATATTTTGTGTATGTTTATCGCACAAAGCCGATAAACACACACACACACACACACACACATAAATGTACATGTAAATATGCATGTAATATTCCCAGTGTGTGTGTATGAATCACCAGGTGTTACCCTAATGCCAATATAAGACAAGGCATGACAAAAAATAATAAAAAGATAAGGCAAAGGAGGATAAATTATTTCATCAAGTATCCAAATCTGTGTGTGCATGTGTGTGTGAGTGTGTGTGTGTCAGACAGTCACAAACTATGCTCATATATGTGGCACAAACAGTAATGCCCATGTGTGTGTACGTTTAAGCATCAGTGTGGAGCAGTGCTGAGATATTATAATTGATGAGGGATGGCAGTGCACAGTCTTGCCATGACTTTATGAAATTTAGATGAATTAACAGGTTTGGGATGAGTCCATTTGCAGACAGATGCTCCAGTAAATCACAGCAAGAAGTCAATTAGCCCTCTCCATCAGCCATATGAAGGCAAACACCTACTGCAGCAGTCACTCCAGACCCAACTGACCATATAATGTATGAAATATAGATGACGAGCTGTGGCTGGGATTGTGCTGTACGGAGGTATATAAGCCTGTGCTGAGCAATATGAAGCGAATACAGGATGACAAAACATTTCTGTCTCTGCGATGACGAACACAGCACTGAAATATGCCCGATAGTGATGCAACACAGTCGAGCATTACATTGTGAATATCCAAAATACAAGACAGTTAAATTGTCACTCGTCATGTAAAGCTGTAGCATGCATGGTGGCAAATTTCTTTTCATTATCAGCTGCTACACTTGCACAGAAATGTGAAATAGCATTTGATTACAGGCTACATATGTCTGAAATATACAACACACAATGAAAATATATTCTGGAAATAAGGGGATGCATATTTAGCATGCATAGAGAGTGTGTTCGCTGAAACAAACGTGAGCCAAAATGTATTTTATTCTGTGAATGTATGAAATCTGCTGGATTATGGTATGAATGCAGACCAGAACCTGAGCTTTTATACTGTTGTGGGCTGAATGTAAAAGAACTGAGCAAAGTGTCAAGGAGAATGCACCCAGTGCACGATTCATTTTCCTATTATAAAGCAAGGCACAGAGAGAGTCAGAGTTGGCACATTAAACCACAGCAAAAACCTGCATGTTCATTCAGCAGAAGGTCCATTTCAGCAAAACAGTGAATCACGATATCATTCATTTAACTGTGCCGCTGGGATACATTGACCATTTTCTGCCTCTTTAAAATGGAAACACGGAAAACACACTCATATACAGCCAGACTGAGTCAATGGAAGCAGTAGTGGGCTATGGTTGTGCCATTGTTTCCAGGAGATGAAGATTTCACTTTTGTCTGGTCACTATTGAGTTAACTTCAAGTCCACAAACTCCTCTATAGCACCAGCGGCCTGAGCCAGCCAAGCATAGTGTAGGCTACAGGCCAGACAATGTGGACAAAAAAAAAAAAAAATTACTCAACATTGCTGTAAGGAAAGAAAAAAAAATCCAGAAGATTGGGCTGCCAAAGGCAAATTTCTTTATATAAAAAAATAATTCTCATGCATCCAAGTCATTTATCAAATTATGCATTTAAATAGAGTCTAACACTTCTAGTTAGAAGAAATGTGAGTTGTTTACCATTTAGGCTGATGGTTATGTTCTGCTCTTTTCCAACAGCATGGGCTTACTGTCACAGAGGTATGCACACTACAATATTGTGATATTTTAAGGTAACGCGCATGCTCAGTTTGAAGAAGATTATGTTATAACCAATGGGCTATCCCAACGCCCAATGAGGTAATCCCAGCAGAGATAACTAAATCATCAAATTACACATAGTCCTGCAGAATAACGGGGTATAATTTACCACCATGCAATACGCCCGCGTTTCATGATCATTAAACATTTTACAGTGTGTCGGACATTTAACACAAAGGAAACAAAGGCCTAAAGTAGTTATAGCTGCATGCTGATTTAATCATTTTATGCAATTAAATTTAACATTTTTAAAAGTTAAAGCAAATATATAAAATTGTGTCGTGGCAAAACTATGTGAAATTATAACGGTGTAAAATTTACTAGAATTTAATTAAATAGATGTGTCAAAAAATAGAGGTGAAAATGTCAGTGAGCGGAGGAGCGAGGAGCGGGGTAAAATATTCTGTGAGGAAAATGGCTGGTGTGAGTGAGACAAACGGTTAACAAAAGTGCAGCCTCATAAAGAAGTCTATGAAGCTGTCTTTCCCCCTCTTTGTAACTTTCACCATTTTCTTTTGTCCTGTAAAAAAAAAATATTACGCGACAAGGCAGCCTGCTCATTTAAAACAAGGAGGTAGATTAAAAAATACATTAAATTAAAAAAAATTA